CCCTCCTCCTCTGTTATTCCATCTCCCTTCCACCCTCCATCCCTCCTGCACCTGCTCCGCCCTCTTCTTCGTCTTCCACGGCGCCGCCCGTTGGTGAGGGGGGGATGGAGGTGCCACCGTCTGTGGAGATCACCGACGGGCAGCGCCTTGAGACTGAGCAGCTGCAGGACGAGAGCAGTATGGATGGAGTACAGCAGAGTGGGGGGCAGGAGACAGGGGAGCAGCAGACAGGGGAGCAGCAGATTGGGGAGCAGCAGACAGGGGAGCAGGAGATGTGGGGAATTAGAGATGGTGGTCGTGTGGTGGTTTTCTGGGACGACCACTGCACCACTGCGTCGCTCCACTCGCATCACTCGTGGTGTCCCGCCCTGTTCGATTACGCTTGGGCTGTAGTGGTTGAGCCAGCGGGCTTGGATGACGAGGAGGAAGGACGAGGAGTGGACTAACCTGGACCCGGGGACGTGGCTAGCTGATCCTGAGAGGCAGTGGGACATAGCGAAAATGACAGTGAAGGAGGCCTTGGGCTGCTGGAAGGGAGACAAGGTGAAGGAGGCGATGGATGAGGAGATGCGGAGCTTGATTGAGCAGTGGGACGTGGGAGTTGGTTCCGCGTCCGCCAGGGGGTAATGTGATGAAGAACCGCTGGATTTTGAACACCAAGTTCCGACCTGATGGGATAGGTGGAGCGTGAGAAGGCGAGGCTGGTGGTGAAGGGGTTCACGCAGGTGGCAGGGGTGGACTATGAGGAGACGTACGCCCCTGTGGGAAGCTATGTGACGGCGCGTGTGCTTCTGGCGATTGCAGCTGCACTTGATTTGGACCTGATGCAGCTCGATGTGAAGAACGCGTTCCATCCATGGCGTGCTGGACCAAGACCTTTACATGGAGCAGCCGAGCTACTACGAGGATGGGACTCCTCGTGTCTGTAAGTTGGTGAAGAGTCTGTATGGGCTCAAGCAGAGCCCGATGCTATGGTATGAGGCCTTGGATGGGGTGCTGCTTGGGGCTGGATGGAAGAAGAGCAAGGTGGATGAGGCTCTGTACTTCAAGACTGATGCTGAGGGGGAGATGTGCTGGCTGCTGGTGTATGTGGATGACCTGCTTGCTGCCAGCCGCAGTCAGAGCATGCTAGCGGAGCTGCGTGACCTGCTGCAGAGTGCCTTTCAGCTGCGGGAGATTAGCCCTGTGGAGAAATATCTGGGGTTGCAGCTGATTCGGGACAGGCCCACGAGGAGGCTGTGGCTGCACCAGGGGGCCTATGTGGACAAGGTCCATAGGCGCTTCTTTGATGGGGGAGCAGCCGCTGCGAGTGCCTCGCACCCCTCTTTCCTCTGACCCTTTCAGTGTGCAGACCTTCGAGGATGTGGGGATGGCAGTCTCGCCAGGAGGAGGAGTACAGGCAGAAGGTGGGATCCTTGCAGTTCGCGGCCCTGTACCACCCGTCCCGACATCTCGTTCGCCTGCAGCAAGCTGGGGTCGGGCCAGACTGTGCGGAGTGATCAGCACTGGAAGGAGTTGGACCGGTGCTTGACGTACTTGGTGGGGAGCAGGGATGTGGCGCTGGAGTTTGGTGGTGGGGCCGGAGTCCTTGGAGCTGGTGGGCTACGCCGATGCTGATGATGCAGGGGACAAGCAGAACAGGACCAGCACAGGTGGCTATGTCTTCGTGCTCGGGTGGGTGCTGCTGTCTCATGGGCGAGCCAGCGGATTCGTTGCGCCACCCTTTCCTCCACTGAGTCTGAGTACGTTGCTGCTGTGGAGGCTGGGAAGGAGGCGCGCAGGCTGCGCTTCCTGCTGGCAGAGTTTCAACTGCTGAGGAGTGAGGAGCCCACGACTCTCTTTGTGGACAACTCCTCCGCCATTTCAGTGGCAAGTGGCATGGGGCTCAAGGGGAGCCTCAAGCACATGGAGCGTCGTCACATGTGGCCTGCAGCACATGGTCAAGCGCAGGAAGCTGCAGCTGCAGTACATCCCTACGAGCGAGCAGCCTGCTGACTACCTCACAAAGGCATTGCATTTCCCCGCCTTCAGTCGTTGCTTCGAGGCTGTGGGGCAGGTGCAGCTCTCGAGTGAGGGGAGTGAAGACCTAAACACTCCATGATGTGGATGGTGCCATGGCCTATCCATGGCTGGTGCGGTGCGTGTTTTACACTTTGAGCGTGTTTCATTTGTGTGTATCCCTTTGTTTTGGTGTGTATGTGTGTATTGCATGCCCTGTGATTATAAAGGGCCTTGCTGTAGTATGGCATGGGAGTGTTAGAGGGCCCTACGACAGCAAGGGCCCTCGATGACCTTTGACTTGGCAGGTCGGCGCCTAACGACTGAGTCTACTCGGCACCGACGCACGAGTTCGGTGGCGGTCATTAGTGACTACGGGTGACTGTGAGCTACTGCAGCGAACTCGGCGGAATCGGTGCTAGGAATGACGAGTCTTGGGGGTCGTAGGTGCCTTGCTTGTGAGGCACGCTGCTCACTTGCTGTGTTGGCAGGAGTAGCGTGCACGGTGAAGACATTCCGGTGCCGAGTTGGGTTGGAAATGTGCGGGGCGCGTTCACCCACCTGCACAGCACTTTCGTGTGGGTTGGGTTACTCGCAGCGCCACGCAACAATTGTGCAACTCTTGCTTGCCTATATATGTTTGTGTTGCTTGTGTGTTTGATAATTGATATTGGCAATTCTACTTGGCCCAAATGCTACTTCAATTCTCACAAAGTCCTTAGAGGCAACGCTACCAAAAACTCTACCAAGTTGCTGGCGCAACATCATTCCCATAGCAGAGACTCTCTCGCTATCGCTTACGCTCTCTAATATATTCCTTCAAAAGTGTGGGCGATGGGGGGTGTAGTGGCATCATGTGAGTGATGGCAGCAGCACTCACATTTTGGTGAGAGCAGAGAGCTTCGAGCTTCGAGCAGAGAGCACTCATAGGCCGGGGCCCTTCTTCTGAGGCGCCTCAACAGTCACATCCTAACGACACTCACATCACGGATGGGATCATGTGCGTGATGCAGCCGCACTCACAATTTTGTCAGAGCGGTGAGCTTGGAGATGCCGGTGATAGGCCCCTCTGCTGCGGACACTGGCATTTGGGAGTCCCTTTTGAGAAATCTCAAACGTGATGGCAGCCACACTCACATTGCGGTCAGAGCAGTGAGCTTGGAGATTCCGGTGATGGGCCCCTCTGCTGCGGACACTGGCAGCGTTCTGACCATGAGCAATCAGGGGAGAGGCGGGAAGGGATGCATCAGGGGCAAGGGACAGACGTTTGAGAGGCCTCAGCCGATGCAATGTTTGACTGGCGTGACTCGGTGACACGGATTGACCGGCGTTGACTGGAATTGACTCACAAGCTGACAACACGACCGCTCGAGTCGCAGGCGACGCCCATGTAGGCGGAGCATTTCTTGGGCGCGCCGGACGCAGTCCATATTTTATAGCCGTCGAAGCCGCTGCCCCACTGCTTCGCTAACTGGCGAAGCACTGTGACTGTAACGGGGACAAGCGGGAAGGCGATTTGAGCGCGGTATGATGGGGAGAGCGTGGCTACAGGAACAAGGAGGGTGAGGCGGGAGCATGACAGTGACGAAGAGTGAGAAGAGTGGGTAACGAGAGAGGGAAGGAGAGGGAAAGGGGGGAGCGAGGAGGGGGAGAGAGGAGGGAGGGGAGGAGACATCGCGGAAATGGGAAACTGCGATTTTGGGGGTCCAAAGGTTTTTCAGCGAAAAAAATGCGACTGAGTTGCGCGAAGTGTACTCGCGAGGAGACTCACGATCAGACGGCTGGATAACGGAGTCGGAGGCTTGAGGGAGAACCTCCGCAGCCGCCGCCGCGGGGAGAGGAGCGCCGAGACCAGCGGAAACTAAAGCAACGGCGATGGTTAGAGCGATCATGGCGTCGCCGAATATGTTCCAACTCGGAGGACAAAAGAATTTGGCTGGAAAAATCGTAGGTCCGTCGTTTTCTTGGAATTTGCAAGAAGGCTCAAGGTTAGACAATTTGTGGCTTCGGAGCCAAAACTCCTCGTTGGAGCTGTTCGGGAACGAATTCTCGCGCCTAAATGTCAATGAGAGGATGACAGAAATTTAGGATGAAGCCGAGCTCTAGGCGATCAAGAACGGAAGGGCAAAATTAAGTGGTATGAATTAGGGCGACAGTGCTCGTCGTTCTTATAACAGCCGCTCGACCAGCAGCGAAGGTGGGTGCTGTGCGGTATGTTCGTCTCTATCATGGCACTACTCTGCACTGTGCTTCACTATCAAGCGTTTTGGGCGCTGCACTGAACAGCGCACCCTCCGTGTTTCACGGAAGTGGTGTGATGGGAGACAGAGGGAGGTGTTATTTCTATACTAAACCGTACTGCGCTCCGGCTTTCTACACAGAACCGTGTACGAGCTGCAGTAAATCACACTGAACCTTACAAATTAGGCAAGAAATATGCGGGACCACGCTGCAAGCATGGGCTCGAGGTGCAAATGTTCCGAGCCGCGTTCCGTAGCTTGCGTCGCGGTGCGGCCAACGCAGAACATTTCACGGCTTGCAGCGAAAATGAATGTGTGGAATGGAAGGTTCCACACATTCATTTTCGCTGAACCGTAACCGTCGCCGCCGGCGACAATTCTGCCATTTTACACAAGGGCCCTTCGCCAGGAACAGGTTCTGCGAATGCCATTTTGTCGTGAGAGTAAATTCCTGTTGCGACGTTCGCCCCCATCAATCCCACAAATTATTGGTGAAAGTGCGGAATTATTGTTGACTGGACAATTACTGCCCGCGCCTCTCGCTCAAACTTTCGCAGCTTGTAACGTGGATGGACCTTGATTGCTTTCCATTTCAAAATACAAATTACAGTAGCTGGTTTGTGATTTTTTATCAGCAATCCAATGAAGGCAACCAGTAAGGGAGCTCCTAGCCAAACCAATTCCACCTTATACAACAAAGCTTGGGCCAGTGAACTACCACCAAACCCAGAAAAGTAAAGCTCCATATCATTTCAATGTTCCTCATTTGCTGACAGCTACATTCTCCTTCAAATACTGTACCACCTCCGCCGCGCGCTCATACCCACCCTCCACGCACCGACCCAGCGCGACCCCCGCCACGTAATTCCCTCCCAGGAACACGCCCTCGAGCCCCGCCGCCTTAATCTCCGCGCGTGCCTTGGCGAGGTTGTCCAGATGGCCCACGTTGAACTGGGGGATGGCACGCGGCCACACGCGCACGCCGTGCGTTTGGGGCGCTGCTCCATCGGGCTTGATGAGCATCTTGCGCACATCGATGTCCACCTGCTTCACGATATCCTCCTCGCTCTGGTGGGGGCATGGGGGGTAGAGGAGTGGCGGGTAGAGGGAAGGGGGGACAAGGGGAGGAGACGAGAGATGGTCTGATGAGCATCGTGCGCACATCGATGTCCACTTGCTTCACTATCTCCTCCTCACTCTGGTGGGTTGGGAGAGGGGGAGGTGATGCAGGAGCTGAAGGGAGGTAGGGCAGTGGGGGGGGGAGGCAAGGAGGGTAAGAAAGGAAAAACGAAGGGAGAGGGATGGGAGGGAAAGAGAAGACGTTGAACTAGGGGATGGTACGCTGCGCACGCCGTGCGTGAGGGCGCGGCCGGCGTCGGGTTTGATGAGGTAAAGGAGGGAATTGAGGGAAAGAGAGGGAAGGAGGGTAGGAGAAGCGGTTTGATGCGAATCATTTGCACGTCGGAGGGGAAAGGGAGAATGGAAGGAGATGAGCATCTGTCTCACGTCGATTTCCAACTACTTCTCTATCTTCTCCTCGCACGCGTGGGGACGGTGGGGGCAGGAATGAAAGGGGAAGGCAACTTCAGTGTCGCACACGTTGCCATAGTAGCGCAGCAGCAGGAATTTCAACCCTCGCAAGAACTAGCACATATGGCACACATGACCCTGAAGCATTACCTACCACCCCCACCCACTCACCATGGTGGCGATCTTGGTGTTGCACGCGCCACCAATGTAGCACAGCAGCAGCATTTACCACCTTCCACCTTGAGATGCACTAGCACGTACCGTAGACAAGCAATAATCACCTCCTCCACCAACCCCACTCACCATGGTGGCGATCTTGGTGTTGCACGCGCCGCCAATGTAGCACAGCAGCAGCACACGGCCATCTGGGGCCCGGTTGGGAAAGAGCACGGAACTGTAGATGGTGCCTGGTGGCGGGAAAGAAAGGGGTGGGAAGGAGATACAGGATGGGAGGGAGGCACAGCGAGGAGTATGGAGCACAGTTGGGGAAGAGCAAGAATCTGTGCATCGTGCCCGCGTGGGTGAGGGACAGAGGTGAGAGGAGCACGGATGAGGCGAAGCGGACGGAGTCACATTGCTGCCTGCTGGCACAGCAAACAGCATGGAGCAGGTGCGGAACAAGTGAAACAGATCAGGGAGCAGGTGGTATCGCCTAAGCACCATCTCTCACTTACCCATTCCTCACAGCCATCTCTCTGAACCATCCCTCACCTCACCTCACCACCCTCAACCCCCCCTGCCACCCACTGCCTTACCCAGAGTGACGATCCCCTGGGTGCGCGGGTGCAGCTGCCCAAAGCCCTTGAGCTCCCCGCCCACCAGCCTGTCCTCTCGAATGGCCTCTTTGGGGTACGAGATGGTCACTGCTGCCACCGGTGGGTAGTAGAAGGACGAGAGGGCGGCTGCTGCTGCTGCCTGTGGGAGGGAAGATGAGGTACGGGGATGGAGATGGGGGATGGCGGGATGGGGATGGTGGGAGGGGATAGAGATAGGGAAGGGGGATGGAGATGAGGGGAGAAGGATGGAGATGAGGGGATAAATCCGATTGGCCTTGAGACTAGAAGGAATAAAGATGAACAAGGAAGGACGCACACTGAAACAAGTCTGCAGCAGGGTGAATGGAATGCTCACCGAGTAAGGCTTGAGCAGGTCAGCAGCGACGTAGGAGGGCACGGTGAGCAGCAGCGAGCGCGCTGAGAGCTGCTTGGCGCCCTCGGGAGTGTCATAGGACAGCAGGAAGCCGCTGCCACCTGGCCGCTTCTCTGTGGCTGTCAGCTTCCACCCGAGCCTCACTCTGTCGCCGAGCCTGGAGGGCAGGTTAGGAGTGGGTAGGTTGGTGGAGAGGAGTGTGATGTGGGAATCCCGTGATGGTGCATTCTGTGTGCACTGGTGTGGTGTGATGTGGCACGTCATGGCAAGTCATGGCATGTCGTGGCATGTCACTGTGGCATTATATGGCAGAACATGGCACTACATGGCATGGCATGGTGTGGCATACCATGACATGGCATGACACGGCATGGCGCAATATGGCATGGCAGCACGTGGCATGGCACCATGTCACCACATAACCACGTCATCAAATCGCCACGTCATCACATCACCATGTCATCACATCGCCACATCACCATGGCACATACTTGTTGGCAATGCCGGTGGGGAGGGTGATGAGTCCCTTTTGGAACGACCCCACTGTCTGCCCCTTGGGCTTCGGCAGGCGCCTGCAGATACACTCGGTCAAGAGCGGTGAGGACAGGTGAGAAGGGGAGAGAGTGGGTGGAAAGGGATGGGTGCGTTAGAATCGGATTTGATGAGCCACCAAAGATGGCATCAAGGGCATCTGGTTACCATGTTACAGCACACTATGGGCTAACATCCATAATCAGCTTCATGGAGCCGCCAAAGATGCACCCCCCTAGCTGCGTCTGATAACTCCATTCATACCTAGTTACCACAATCCAGCACGTAACATACGGGCCACGGGGAAGCGGCGGGTTGGCCCACTTCTCCTTGATCAGCTTCATGGAGCCGCCAAAGATGGACCCGCCCAGCTGCTGCTAGCAGCATCAAGCGCACCTGGTTACCATGTTACAACACACTGTGGGCTAGCATGCATCACGTACAGGTCACGAGGGGGCGGCGGGTTGGCTTGCTTCTCCTTGATCAGCTTCATAGAGCCGCCAAAGATGGACCCTCCCAGCTGCTCCAGGCGCCACACCTTGCCGAACGCAGCCTTCATGCTGAGCTTTGATGGGTCTCCCGCGTACACACCTGCAGAAGGAAGAGGGTGTGGGGAGGTGGGTGTGTGGGGGAGAAAAGGCGAGGGTGGTGGCGGGTTGAGGGGAAGGGGAGGAACGCGGCCTTCATGCTCAGCTTCGATGGATCTCCTGCGTACACACCTGCAGGGCGAGGAGCGGGAGCGGGGAGGGAGGAGCAGAAGGGAGAAGAGGGGGAGGCGGGGTGGGGGAATGAGGAAAGGGAGGAAGAGATGGAACCCCTCTGCTGCTCCAGGCGCCACTCCTTGCCGAACGCGGCCTTCATGCTCCGCTTCGATGGGTCTCCTGCATACACACCTGCAGGGCGAGGAGCGGGAGCGGGGAGGGAGGAGCAGAAGGGAGAAGAGGGGGAGGCGGGGTGGGGGAACGAGGAAAGCGAGGAAGAGATGGAACCCCTCTGCTGCTCCAGGCGCCACTCCTTGCCGAACGCGGCCTTCATGCTCCGCTTCGATGGGTTTCCTGCATACACACCTGCAGGGAGAGAGGGGAAGCGGAAGGGAGGAAGGGGGGAATGAGGGAGAAAAGGCCAAGGATGGGCGGAGGGAGGAGGAGAGAAACTCCGTAAGTGCCGCGCCACAGCTTGCCGAGCGCGGCCTTCATACTCCCACAGCTTTGAGAGGTCTTCTGCGTACACATTTGCAGTGAAGAACGGGGGGAGGGGGGGTTGGGGGAGAGTCGGGGACGGGGGTGGGGTTGAGGGAAGGGGAGGAACCCTCATGATTTCAGGCGCCACACCTTCCAAAACGCTGCCTCCACACTCACAACTTTGAGGGGTCACCTGCGTACACACATGCAGGGAGGGAAGGGAGGGGAGGGGGGGGAGGGAGGGGAGGGAGGGGAGGGAGGAGTGGTGGAGGAGGGAGTAAAGGGGCCATCCTAACTTCTCCAGCCCTAGCTTTTTGCCGAATGCTGCAGCCTCTCTGCCTGCCGCCTTTCTTGAAAGCAGAAGGACCCCTCCTGTGTGGCTGTGACCCCAAGCTTCCACCCACCCACCTTCTCAGCCACCCACCCTGTCACCTACCCACCCACCATTCAACCACGCACCCACGAACCCAGCGGCCTGCCCACCCACTCACCCAACCAGCCACCCAGCCACCCACCCACCGGAGCAGAAGGGCTCAATGAGGCGCTCGAACACCTCAGCGCCCAGATTGCGCCGCACAGCGCAAGCCCGTCTCTGCCTCCTACCACCCATCCACCCACTTTCCCCCCCACCCACCCACGGGCCCAGCCAGCCACCCACCCACCGGAGCAGAAGGGCTCAATGAGGCGCTCGAACACCTCTGCTCCCAGATTGCGCCGGACGAACTCCTCCACACTCTCCTCCTTGCCCTGCTCTCCACACACCATGCCATGTCATGCCACACACCATGCCACACCACGTCACGCCATGCAATGCAATGCAATGCAATGCAATGCAATGCAAGCGGGGTGAGTATGAGGAGGGAAGGGGTGGGCATGAGGAGGGAAGGGAAGGCAGGATGAGGGGACGGCAGGAGGAGGGAAGGGAGTAAGCTTGATAGGGGAAGGATGGACATGAGGTCGAACACGGGCAGGTCCAGCAGGCCGGCTGGCATGGGCGGAGCTTTTCCGAGGCGTCACAAATTACCACCCATTGCTTACCTCGGGAGCGCCGGGGCGGAGACCGAAAGCACCAAGGCCGGCCCGGATATTGCCGATGATGGACATGAGGTCGAACACGGGCAGGTCCAGCAGGCCCGCTGGCACGGGGGGCAACGTTCACCTCACTCAAACACTCACCTCGGGAGCGCCGGGGCGGAGACCGAAAGCACCAAGGCCGGCACGGATCTTGCCGATGATGGACATGAGGTCGAACACGGGCAGGTCCAGCAGGCCGGCCGGCACGGGGCGCAGACGGCCCTCCCAGAAGACGAAGCGGGGCGCGTCGGGGTCTCCGAGAACCAGCTGGTCGATGACCCCGCTGTCCAGCTGGCGTGGGTTGGGGGGGAAAGGACACGGCACGGGGTGAGACGCACGCACGGGGCGCAGGCACCCCTCCCAGAAGACGAAGCGGGGCGCGTCGGGGTCTCCCAGGACGAGCTGGTCGATGACCCCGCTGTCCAGCTGCAAGGTGGGTTGGTGAGTTGTGGGGTGAGAGGAGAAAGGACACGACAGGGGCAAGGACACGGGCACATGGAGGGTGGGGGCAGGGCAGCGAGGGGATGGCAGGGAATGGCAGGGTGCTAGCAGGAGCTGCATTTCGCGTTATCAGTCGTCGCGGTAATCCTGTGTAATGACGCCTCGCTAGACTAACCTTTTTCATGCCACAAGCCAAGCCGTCCTCCTTCGCGTTACTGGGTCAAGAGAATATCAAAACAGAATAAAATGCGCGCCCACGCAAATTTGCGGTTGACGACTCAGCGGCGAGAAAGGGCCACAACAATGGTGCAAATTCATCCGTAAAAAGAAAACGTGTATAATTTCTCAATACCAAAAACCGCCAAATTCAAGCTGTATATATGCAGGTTCAACCGTTATCTGGTCACGCAGACACCACATGGAATCCCATTTGACCTGTAAGGCTCACATCCTTTGCCAGTGCAGGCTTGCGGCTCTTTGGAGAGTCGGATTTGTAAATTCAAGACCTTGCGACACAGCGCGCGACCAGAATAGCCCGTACCGCGCATCGGAGCGCAGCGTCGCTCGCCTAATGTGCCTTTTTTATAACGCGGATGACAGTCCAAACACTATCGCACGTTTGAGCATAGCGTCGTTGTATTGGAAGCTATTGGACCCTTCTTCCCACAGATTCCCCTCATCCGCCGTCCCCGGCTCGTTTGAATTGAAGCAGTAAAAAAAAAGCGATTTGCTTCTTTATAACGCGGATGAATACTTACCGCGCATTTAAGCATGGCGTCGTTGGGTTGGAAGCTGTTGGGCCCCTCTTCCCACAAATAACCTTCATTAGCCGTCCCCGCCTCGCCGACCACCGTCGTGATGTTGCCACCCACGCGGTCGCGCGCCTCCGTTACAATCACCTTCGACACAGTGTCCGCGTGATCCGTGGTTAGAGCGAGACCCGTGCACAGGCCCGACACGCCGGCGCCGACGATAACGACGTCAGCTTCCTCTACTGCGACGGATGCGCTAACGGCTGCGACGACGTGCGACAGTGAGCGATTGAATTGGCTCGCGTGTGACTGCCGGCGAGAGATCTGCGATCGTAGGATAGCACGATCGGGAATTCGGCTGCCGCTGAGCAGGCGACTCGAGAGGTTTGCTTGAAAGAGGGCGACACGTTGACTGACTGCTGACGTGGCGTCACGACGGGTCGCAGGAATGAAATCTGCGCGTGCGACCGACGTCGCACGCGAGGTGCTCATGGTCAGAGCTTGCGCCATGGCGGCGACAGACGGCTAATTCCGACCTTGACGGCAAAAAACGAACACTTGAGATGACTCAAGCTGATTGCCGACACAGCAGTCTCGCGCTTCTATATACCTCGCTCGCAGCTAGTTCTGCTTTCTACTGCTCCAAACTTTGGTTTCAAACCATTGCCATTGCAGTCAGTCACATACGTCAGCTTGCTTACGTGTGAGAGACGTATGTGACTGATGGCAATGGCAATGGCGTGGAGGAGGTAGCAGCGCAAGGGGGTGTTGCGCGCATTCGCTATTACTTAGAAACAACCATGGGTCTTGTTGGGTCTATTGCGTTTCAGAGCGGTATATTACTAGACCGCTGTAGTGAACTATCGCGGACGAATTCCCGCATCTCCACATTGCGCGGCGCGCGGAGCTGGATTTTTGCAGAGCGGGTGCTGTGCTGCTGCTTGTTGCATTCCCTGTACCCGCGAAGCTTCAGTGGTCCACCTGGCAAATCGCGGAAATGTTTGCTCTGTGTTCTGGTTGGCTTGTGACTGGATAGCGAACATTCCCTGACACGTGGCACCAGAAGACTGTCAGCGCAATCTAGATTTCGGGAACTCCGATATAATTAGTTGATTGCCACACTTCCTGAAAATTAAAACTCAATCCATCTCATGTGACATTCACCCAATAAAACGAGTAGTGTTTCTGCACAATAGAATGCAATCTCCTCAAATTCCGTATATCGTATGTTAAAACAGCAATGGCACATCCATCAGCAACACAACCTATCATGTTTTAAGCACCACCTTGTGCACCATCGCCTCCTTGTGAATGTGATGGCAGCTCGTCTCCACAAGGTCAAGCAGCTTCGCAATGTCACTCGCCCATTTATCCAGCAGCTGCACTCCACTCTCCTGCCTCTCGCCGAACGTGACAATCCCCGCCGGCCGGTCGATCTTAGCCACCAGTACCTTCTCCACCACCATGTCTGATAGAAACTTCTCCGCCTCCTGTTCGGGAAAAGGGTTAAAAAAAAAAAAAACGGATAGAAAGGGCAAAACTAGTCAGTGCATATTAATTTGAAAGTCTCCAACGAATGTAGCAACCCAGAATTGTGCTGTAGACAACCTATAAGGAATCAACGATCAACATAAAAAGCCGACTAGGAGCTGCAGCCATGATGCTGCACCTGAGTATCATCCAGTGCTCTCGCCTTGCAGAACAAACCACCGTACAAGCAAGCTTCAAGTGACGAGGAAACACACGCACGCAGTGAAGCGAGCGACGCAGAGGAGCTGGACAAGCAGCGCAAATCTGAATCACTTTTGAGGAATTTCAAAATTGACTCGGATTAAGGTTGAGGTGATGGGATAACGCACCTGGACAGTGAGGGAGAGCAGCTGAGCAAGCCGTGCCATGGTGATGCGCACATAATACTTGGACACCACCAGGATGTTCTGATGGGGTAAGGACATGCGGAGGGATATGGGGCAAAGAACGGAAGCAGGAGGGTGAAAGACAAGGCAATGGTAATGATGCGCACATAGTACTTGGACACCACCAGGATGTTCTGACGGGGTGACGATGAGGGGTGGGGGAGGGGGATTTTAGGGGAAAAGGAAGACAAGGCAATGGTGATGCGCACATAGTACTTGGACACCACCAGGATGTTCTGAGGGGGTAAGAGTATGGGGGGTAGAGGGGGCGATATGGGGAAATGGAAGAGAAGGTGACGGTGATGCGCACATAGTACCTGGACATGACCAGGATGTTCAGAGGATGAGGGGAGGGTTCATACACGGCGGACAATGGAAGCAGAAGAGTGAAAAACGAGGTGATGAAGATGTGCACGTAGGTGGGTAACAGAGACTGAGCAGAGTCGTACCTCCTCGTGGAAGAAAGAGGTAGGAAATACAGGGCTGTGGGCAACGACATTGAAATCACTTTTGAAATCACATTGAATTCTCAAAAGTGGAAACACAGGGCTGTGGGCAACGACACATACTTGCTGGATGGCGTGCGTGCAGGCGCAGATGGAAGGAAGACAGGTGAATGGATGGGTAGAGGGAACCCAGAGCCATGCACGGTAACATACGTGCTAGATGGAGCCAGAGAGCAGACGGCACGTACGTGCTGAATGGATGAATGAAGGGCATACAAGAGAGCAGAGGCGCGGCACTGCAACACGTACATGCTGGATGACGCGCAGGCGCAGGTCCTCGAGAGCAGTGTCTTTGAGGTAGACAGGCGGATGGATGAAGGGGGATGGAGCACAGGGCGACGGACCGCGACAAAGTGCCTAGAGCAGCGGGACAGCAACACATACATGCTGAATGACGCGCAGGCGCAGGTCCTCAAGAGCCGAGTCTTTGAGGAAGACGGTGGGCTTCTCCTCCTGCATCTCCGCACTGTAATCCGCCTGCAGCTGCGGCCACCCCACCACCTCCATCGTTATAAACAGCTTCAGCAGCGCGCTGTGAGGGGGATAAAAAAGGGGGGTGTGTGTGGGGTGATGGGCACGTGAGTAGGGAGCGAGGATCACTGGCAGTCCCTCCGCCTGCATATGTGACCACCCCAGCCCCATCGTTATGAACAGGTAACATCGTCAGTAGGGCGCTGCATGTGGGGTGAACCGGGAATGGGGAGAGGGGGGGTGTGGGGCGCACAAGAGTAGGGAGTGAGGAGGAGGGTGTGGGGCACATCGTTAGCAGTCCTTCCGCCTGCCTGCAGCTGCGGCCACCCCACCACCTCCATTGTTATGAACAGCTTCAGCAGCGCGCTGTTAGGGGGGGAAGTGGTGGAGAGGAAGCAACAGGAGTGAGAAGCGAGTTCCACGGAGGCTCACAGGCAGTCTCTCCGCCTGCAGCTGCGGCCACCCCACCCCACCACCTCCATTGTTATGAACAGCTTCAGCAGTGCGCTGTGAGAGGTGGGGGAAAGAAGGTTACACGAGATGAGAGTAAGGAGCACGTGCGAGAATGAGGTTAGAACGAGGTCTAAGGGAACTCGGGGAGGTCGAGTCGAGGAGGTGCAGAGCGGTGAGAAGGGGTTTGGGGGAAGACAATGTCCCTTCTCCTCCTCCTCCGCGCTGTAATCAGCCTGCAGCTGCTTATCAAAAACCAGCTGCGGCTGGAACTTCGGAACGTCAAGGAGGATGAATCGTGAGTGGAGTGGAGGAGACCGCGCGGTGCAGAGCGGTGAGAGGGGGTGAAAGCGGGTGAGAGCAGTTTTTAGTGGACTGATATCAGTAACCACAGGTGTAGTTGACAGATTTTGAAACTTGGGGTAAGGTGAGAGAGGGGAGAGATCAGCGAAGATGGAGAGGGGGAGAGAGGACTGCATGCTCCCGTGCAGGGTGGTGAGGTGAGAGTAGGTGAAAGTGCTACAGAGTAGTTGAGAGTGGTTGAGAGGGGTGAACGCAGATGAGGAGGGTTACCGGAACTTGGGGAGGTCGAGGAGGTGAGGATCGGAAAAGGTGGAGTGGAGGAGGGACGATTGCATGCTGCCATGTGGAGAGAGGCCTAGAAGCAGTGAGAGGGGTTGAGAGTGGTGCTCGCAGGTGGGGATGACAGTTACCGGAACTTGGGGAGGTCGAGGAGGTGAGCGTCAGCAAAGGTGGAGTGGAGGAGAGACGACTGCATGCTGCCGTGAGGCGCCAGCACGAGATACCAGCAGATGCGCTTCAACACCTGGGTGGGGGGGAGTGGGGGGGGGGGGAGGGAGACAAAAACAGATGCAGCATATGTGCGTGCTGAGCACGTGGAGAGCGAAGGTGGAGTGGAGGAGGGACGATTGCATGCTACCGTGTGGTGCCAGCACGAGATACCAGCAGATGCGCTTCAGCACCTGGGTGGGGTGTGAGGGAGAAAACGCACAGAATGAATGCAGCATGTGGGGTGCATGTGGGGAGAGATGTGAATGTGAAGAGTGCATGAGTGGGAGGCATGACAGAAGAGGAGTAGAGAGCACGGGATACCAGCAGGTGCGCTTGAGCACCTGGGGGTGGGAGGAATGCATGCAACACGTGCGGTGCATGTGGGGTGCATGTGGGTGCATGCGAGGAGCATGTGGGGAGAGCGGAGGGCTTGACAGCACCAGATATCAGCACGCAGCAACGCGCACATGCAGCATGTCGTACTCACCGGGATCCACCTCTCCTGGTCGGCCTTGACTGCCGGTGTGTCGTAGATGTTCTGATAGCACCGACAGATCTCCAGATAGTCACTTCAGCAGCAGGCAAGCACTCACCAAAAGCACAGGCAGCGACACTCACCGGAATCCACCTCTCCTGGTCGGCCTTGACTGCCGGTGTGTCGTAGATGTTCTGATAGCATCGGCAGATCTCCAGATAGTCATTCGCGTTTAGCAGCACAGCAGCAGGCAAACGCTTATGCAACAGCCACCACCACAAGCAGCACTCACCGGAATCCAGCGCTCCTGGTCGGCCTTGACTGCAGGTGTGTCGTATATGTTCTGGTAGCACCGGCAAATCTCCAGATAGTCGTTCGCGTTTGTGTGGTAGCTGCAGTGGGGGGGGAGGGGGGAGATCGAGGCAAGGGGAGTGGGGGGGGGGGAATTTAGGAGAGGGGAGTGGGGGATTGAGAGGCCTAAGCAGCCAAACACGTTTTAATAGCAGCACCAAATCTCCAGGCCTCAGACGCCAATATGAAATTATTCATTGGTATCAGCTGCAGGGACGCACCGGACAGCACCACACAGCACCTCACTGGATCATGAGCTCATAAAATTTTGGCTTCAGCTCCACCAGCGTCGGCGCATCAGGCACAGCGGGCTCACACCTCTTTCCTTCAGCCCTCACGCCTCACTTGTCGACGCCATATCAACCTGTACCCGACCCGACCGCATAGAATCTCACCGGATCATGAGCTCGTAGAACTTGAGCTTCAGCTCCACCAGCGTCGGCACATCAGGCGCAGCCGGCTGAATCTCCCCCTCCTCCTTCGGCCCCTTCCGCTTCTTCCTCGTCCTCTTATTCACAGCATCATCACCTCGTAGAACCTCATCAGTCCACATGCTCTCGTACCACACCCAAAAACAACTCACCTCACAAAACCGCACAGAACTGCACAGCACCTCACCGAATCATGAGCTTGTAGAGTTTCAGCTTCAGTTCAGTTCCACCAGCGAGGGCACATCAGGCTCAGCCGGCTAAATCCCCCCCTCCTCTTTCGGCCCCTTCCTCTCCTCCCTCCTTCACTTACTCACAGCATCATCACCTGGTTGCACCTCACCAGTCCACGCCCTCTCATACCACACAAAACAGCACCTCACCGCACAGAACCTCACAGCACCGCACAGCACCTCACCGGATCATGAGCTCGTAAAACTTCAGCTTCAGCTCCACCAGCGTAAGCACATCAGGTGCAGCCGGCTGGATCTCCCCCTCCTCCTTGGGCCCCTTCCTATGCTTCCTCCCTCTCTTACTCACAGCATCATCACCTTGTCGCACCACACCAGTCCACACGCTCTCAACCCACACCCAACGACACTTCACCGCGCAGAACCGCACTGAACCTCACCGGATCATGAGCTCGTAGAACTTGAGCTTCAGCTCCACCAGCGTGGGCACATCAGGAGCAGCGGGTTGGATCTCCCCCTCCTCCTTGGGCCCCTTCCTCTTCTTCTTCCCCTCCTCCTTCCCCTCCCCACCACCCGCTGCTGCTGCCGCCTCTGCCGCCTTGGCCTTCTCAGCAGCCTCCACGGTCTCGGAGGCGAATGCACGCGGGCTGATCTTCTTGGCAAGAATCTGCGCTCGCATGAAGTCATCTGAATCCAGACACAGGCGGACCTGACATAGGGAGAAATGGTGGGGGGGAAGGGTACGCATGAGCTCCCACGGTCTCTGGGTTGAATGCACGCGGGCTGTCTTTTCTCGCGAGGATTTGCGCTCGCATGAAGTCACACGATTCGAGACGCAGGAGGACCTGGGATCTGGGAGAACGGGTGGGAGGATGAGAGGGGTTGAATTGAAAAGATCTGATATGCACATGCATGAAGTCAAAAGAATTCAGACGCAGGCGGACCTGGCACAGGGAGAGCGGGCAGAGGCACAGGGAGAGCGGGCAGAGGCACAGGCGAACGTTGAGTCGAATCAAAAGTCGCACCACACTGACTGACGTAGAGCTAAGAGAGTGGTGAGGCTCACCTGCTCACCAGCTCACCTGTTCGGCTCATCACCTGCTCTAGGATGAAATCGATCTTCCGTGTCTTTGCCATGGCTCCAAACGTCACACACATGTACTGCTGAGAGACTGATGGTGTGAGAGTCAAGGCTCACCTGCTTGAGCGCAGACTGAACGCTCACCTGCTCTAGGATGAAGTCGATCTTCTCTGTCTTTGCCATGGCTCCAAACGTCTCCACCTGGCATAAGAACCAACGACAGAGGGATGAAGGGGAGCGGAGAGGAGTGGAGAGGAGTGGAGAGGAGTGGAGAGGAGTGGAGAGGCATGAGCGGAGGAAACATTGCAAGGTTGAGAGGCATAAAAGACGGCAAAGTGGTTACAAGGAGGAAAGGACAGGGCACAATGGCATGGCAAGAGCAGGGCGTGAGGCACTCACCGCCACCTCCTGCATGATTTCAGCCGCCTCCTTCACCTTGCCCTCAGGCAGCAGAGACAGAGGGCGATGGCATGGGGCCCTCACAGCACAACCAAGACAGCAAGGGCGGGCAAGAGACCACTCACCGCCACCTCCTGCATGATTTCAGCCGCCTCCTTCACCTTGCCCTCAGGCAGCAGAGACAGAGGGCGATGGCATGGGGCCCTCACAGCACAACCAAGACAGCAAGGGCGGGCAAGAGACCACTCACCGCCACCTCCTGCATGATCTCTGCCGCCTCCTTCACCTTGCCCTCCGCCTCCTTCATACGCGCCAGACGCTTCACCAGGCGCGCCCTCTCTATCTCCACGTAGATCTGAGGGGGGAGGAGGGGTGGAGAAGAGGGAGAATGGAGGGAGAGGCAGGAGAGGGAGACGGAGAGGCAGGGAGGTGAGCGGACGAATACAGCAGCATATGGGAGGAGCTGCTGTGCCAGGCGCTTCACCAGGCGCGCCCTCTCTATCTCCACGTAGATCTGAGAAAAGAGGGGGAGAGGGAAGTGGGATGGTGGAGTGGGTGGAGAGGCAGCGAGCGAGGTGAATGGACGGAGCCAGCATCGAACAAAGCATGGCTGCTTGCGCCATGGGCAGAGAGATGGACAACTGCTGCGCACCATGCCTCTCTCCCTCCCTCCCAACCCCCGAAAGCACACCTTGCTCCCTCTTCCCCCTCCCTCTCCCCCCCCCCCCCAGGCGCACCTAGTCCCCAGAGGCGCGCCTTGGCCCCCTCTCCCCTTCACTCCCTCCCTCCCTCCCCTCCAGCAGCGAACCTCCCCCACCCTCCCCTCAGAGCTGCACTTCGCCCCCCCCTCCCCACCTCGCCCCACCATCTCCCGAGAGCCGCACCTTGCCGGCTGTAACCCCACTGAGCGTCTTGATAAGCTCCTCGCGGATGACGTCATCAGGTGCGTCATCCACGTACTTCATGGCCTCCTGCACCATCGCCGCCACGACCTGCGATGAGGCGAGGGAGGGGGGGGAGGGCCACGGGGCATGGGGGCATGGGGTCCACCAAAAGGCACGGGGCATGGGGATATGGGCACGGCAATGGGGGGGCACGGGGAGATGGGGACATGCGGGCATGCGGGTATGGGGCATCTGGGTATGAGCGATGGTGCATGAGATTGGGATCCGGGCATGGGGTCATGGGGATCGGATTGGAGATGGGTACGGGATGAGAAAGGGATGGGCAAGGGTTCGGAAAGGAGGACGAGGAAGGGATGGGCATGGGGATGGGGATAGATGGGGAAGAGAATGGTGTGCGATGAAGAGAAAGCAGGACACGAAGGGCATGGGGATGGTGCATGGTGCATGATGCATGATGCATGATGCATGATGCATGATGCATGATGGATCACCCACCAAATCCATCACCCACCCATCCATCACCCACCCATCCATCACCCACCCATCCATCACCCATCACACACATCCCAATCTTGAACCCCACCTAGGCACCCCACCGAAGCTTTCGCCACAGCGCTCGGCTGCCTCGGCCCACCGAGGCACCCCACCTGAGCGTCCCACCTGCTTCAGCTGCGCTCGGCGCTTCGACAGCGCCACAATTTGCTCGTTGAGAAGCTTCCACGCAGCTGCCTCGTGGCAGACCTTGAGAATGGCAACCGCCACCGTGCGTGTCCCCACCACGTCAGCAGCCTGGGCCGATTCAGGTTGGACAAATTCAGGTCAGGTGGGCGGCAAATAGGATGATGCAACGGTTAGCGACTGAGGCATGACAGGGAGGGCAACCGAGCAACCAACGAGACAGGTAGTGGTATCAGGGCAAAAAAAAAAAGAGCGGAGTGAGGGAGAGAGAGGAAAGTGAGTAGAGAGAAAGAGAGGCGGCGAGAGAAAGGAGGAAACGGAGGAAGTCACGTCATACCAGGCGCATCTGCTTCTCCAAGCCCAGCAACGCGTCAAGAGCTTCAGTCAGCCTCCCCTCCTGCGCGCACGTAGCAGGGATTGCATCCGCGCACAGCAGAACACCGAAGCACAATTGAGAATTGTCAAGAGATAGATATGACTCAGGAATTTGACATCTGACTTTTGCGTCGACTCAAATGTCAGAAGTGAACGCTAATAGAGATTCAGTCAGTCTTCCCTACTGCAAGCACAAGAAGTTGTGGATCTGGGCATAGAAGAGGGATCCGATTCAGGCACAGAAGGAGACCAAACAAGAAAGACGGAGGGTCTAAACCTGAACAGCACAGCGGGCGTGACCTATAATAGGACGAGAAGAAGGCTATATTTTCTGAAGTCTCTAGAACGATTCACTTTTGCGTCTCACTGGTGTACGATCCGACGGACGAATAGCAGTGATCGTATCCGCATCGAACGGCGCGTTCGCATCTCACTGACCGTACTCTTCCGCATGAAACCTATATCGATTCCGAATCCGTTCCTCATCCATAGCCCTTGGAATCCGCACCGATTCCTCATATATTCACCATGAATAAACTCCTCTGAATAAATTCCCAAAGGATTCACTACAAGAGGCCGCACTTCCACAGCATCTCTCGACGGCCATCGTTGGCGACTTGCACATGCGAAGCGCGTCACGCCCCGTGCACGTCGCTTGCACGTCCCATAAGCGTCGTTCGCACGTCCCTCAAAAGGCTATACGGCTATCGTCCCTCGTGCAGGTTGACGGCGCGCCCCTAATCCGCGACTCTTAGCTCGTCCACACGACTGTGTCATCTACGATCTGCGACGCTGGTCACTGATGCTGCTGATGCTGATGCTGGCAACGACACAGCTACGTCTACGACACTCTCAGACTCCGGTAGCCTCGTCAGTATGGCCGTACCTTAGGCCTGCACTACACGGCGGCTGAAAAAACGCCGAAGCAAGTAACCGGGTAACCCTAGTACCTTGAGAGCCACATCTCGCTGGTGGTCCACGTCCCTCTCGAGCTTGTCGTAGTCGATCGCCTTGTTCTTCCCCTCGGGCGCCGCGATCGACCGATCGTCCTCCTCCATGCCTGCCTGCCGAACCTACAACCTCTTTAAAGCGCTACCACTCTGGAAAGGAAAAACCTCTCGAAAATTCCTGGGAACGCGTAAAATAACGTGGTATCGCGGCTGGATCCTGGAAGGTGTAAAACTACCGGTGCCGCGAGACTGCTGGTTCTCGGCAGGGGAAAATCGACAAGCAGATTCAACAGCAGCAGAAGCAGCACAGGAAAGCAGGGAGGCACACTGCGAGATTCGGATGGAAACTGTGTTGGAGGATGGAGCTGGTAAGGGAAGGTCCGACACTCATTAGAATAAGAAAAAGAGAGTACAGCATGTTAAAAAACTCAAGTTACCAGATTCCAACTGCTGCAAAAAAGGTAAATTGATTTCCTAGCTTTTTAGTGTCCACGTTCAGAAAAGCTAGACCACAATTATTGGGGCATGGGAATAAAGGGGGAAAAGTGGGCTGTGGTACCATACATGGTACCATACCTTGTTGTTAGACTATGAATAAATTACTACCAACAAATCAAGTCCTTCCTCTCTGGATAACAAGCCATCTACTCTATCCTGAATGATATAACAAACTGATTGACGTCTTACGACAGTCCCGCTCGGGCTTGATTCCGTTGCCCCTAAAGGCTCATAACCTCAAGCACCAGTGGTCTGTAATCGGCTTACGCCAATGCAAATGAAGCTGCTTCCCCTGTGCAGGTTCTTGCCAACGATGGTCGTCCAATTGCCTTTCGGTTTCCCCTTCAGCGCAAGCGCCACTTCTGTTGTCTTGAACATCGCAAATCCAGATACTTTTTTTCTCCGGAAAAGCTTGCCGTTGTTGAGTAGAAGCGGGATCGACGACCCAAGAGGTAGCCTTTTTATCTTGGAAAATGGATACATGCCCTTGACGACGTTGTAGGAAATGCTTTTCATGAGATTGATCGCATCTTCCGGGGTTTTTGGCTCGTTGAGGAGGCCACTCTGCTTGAGCGCAAAATCGGTGGGGATTAAGACCGTGTTGTAAAAAAACGGGGACCAGTCTATGTCACCAGGAACCGTCGCTGCAAAGGACGGAAATGGGAAGGGTTGGGGAGTGGCATGGAAAAGGCAGGAGTGAAGACGATGCAACGAAGTTGGTCTCTTCTAGCATGTGCTGACGACCCAGCAAAAACGCAAGCACATAAATCTCCCGCCGGGAGACTCGCCAGCGCTAAGGGCCTACCTCCCCGCGTGATAATTTGACCGACTGCTTGATTCATAATTATGAATTGGAATCGCTTCGATAGCTTGCCCTGCAGCTCCTTTAGCTCCTTAATTATCTGTTGCGTTGTCGGCGCCGCCACGGCTGAACTGACTAGGGTCAGCGTAAGTACTACAGCTAGAAAAGCTCGGGTTGACATGGCCTCTAGTAGTCCGTTCAAAAAGCACTGCATATGAATTGTGAACGAAATGTCTCAAGACTCAGGGCTAGAGCACGTAATTGTCACATACAGGGAGGAGAGTGCAAGACAGGGCCAGGTAGGGGCAGAAACAGGAGGCTTCGAGTACGTCGTTCGCCAAATGCATTGACGAGGTTGTTCTGCCACAGCCACGTGATTTTTGGGTTGCGTAGCAACCTTATACATTTGGTTTCACTTTTTGGGGAACTGACCGTAAACAGTGGTTTTTCCCTGCCCGTTTGGAAAAAAATACTGTTCAACTTTTTAGTTGCCCCAAAAATGTAAAACCAAATGTAACCAATAATTCCATAGTCGTCGATAAGTACGGCAAATGGAACAATTGGTTGGACACGAACGTGTACAAAAACCACATGCTGAAATTTTGAACATTTCGAGGCAAACACTAAATGCATCAATGCTGCAACTGAGATTGATATGGTACGGAAAAGGCGAGCAAAGCTGCCCCACCGACGATGACAACCCCTGTTGCATAAATGATGCATTTAGCACCACCCCAAAACAGACCCAAACGACAGCACACGAACTTGTACAAAATCGAGAAACACCAGTTGTGAGTGCTTCGAAGCTAATGCTAGAATGCATCGTTAATGCAACTGCGATTGATCTGGTATGGAAGAGGCAACCAAAGCTGCCCCACCAACGATCACAACCGCAATTGTATACACGAGGCACTTAGCACTCACCCCGAAACAGAGACACACAACTACATAGCCTACATGTACGCACACACATACGCAGAGAGAAAAACACGCAGAAACATACAGCTAATACTAAGCATGCAAGCATAGCCAATGAAGTTCACCAATTAATAAACCATCGCTACCTTGCCCCCCATTCCCCTCCCTCCCCTACTCCCTGATCTCCCTTAACCCTCCCTACACCCCTCCGTCCCTCCTTCCCTCATCTCCCTCCCACTCCCTCCCTCATCTCCCTTCTCAGCTCACGCGCCCTGCACAAAGCGAAAACAGAGAAGTTCACACACACACGACCTGCACACAGCAAAAACAGAGAAGCAAACACACACACGGCCTGCACACAGAAAAAACAGAGAAGCAAACACACACACGGCCTGCACACAGCAAAAACAGAGAAGCAAACACACACACGGCCTGCACACAGCAAAAACAGAGAAGCAAACACACACACGGCCTGCACACAGCAAAAACAGAGAAGCAAACACACACACGGCCTGCACACAGCAAAAACAGAGAGGCAAACACACACACGGCCTGCACACAGCAAAAACAGAGAAGCAAACACACACACGGCCTGCACACAGCAAAAACAGAGAAGCAAACACACACACGGCCTGCACACAGCAAAAACAGAGAAGCAAACACACACACGGCCTGCACACAGAAAAAACAGAGAAGCAAACACACACACGGCCTGCACACAGCAAAAACAGAGAAGCAAACACACACACGGCCTGCACACAGCAAAAACAGAGAAGCAAACACACACACGGCCTGCACACAGCAAAAACAGAGAAGCAAACACACACACGGCCTGCACACAGCAAAAACAGAGAGGCAAACACACACACGGCCTGCACACAGCAAAAACAGAGAAGCAAACACACACACGGCCTGCACACAGCAAAAACAGAGAAGCAAACACACACACGGCCTGCACACAGCAAAAACAGAGAAGCAAACACACACACGGCCTGCACACAGCAAAAACAGAGAAGCAAACACCTTAGAAGCCGACATCCTAAACACTAGTGCAGAAAGCGACACTCGTTTGCATTAGTCCCAGCTGCCCAAGCACCAGCAGAATAGATGCTAGTGCATATGCCCCAGCGTGCTCATAAAGCTCTCTCGTGCGTTCTCTCACGCACTCTCTCACGCACTCTCTCACGCACTCTCTCACCTGCTCTTTCAGGGCTCTCTCACGTGCTCTCACATGCTCTCACGCGCTCCCTCACGCGCTCTCTCACACTTTCTCTCACGCGCTCTCTCACGTGCTCAATCACGCCCTCTCTCACGTGCGCTCTCACGCGCGCTTTCACGCGTCTCTCACGCGCTCTCTCACGCGCTCTCTCCACGCTCTCTCACGCGCTCTCTCACGCGCACTCTCACGCGCTCTCTCATGTGCTCTCTCACACACTCTCTAACACGCTCTCTCACGCGTTCTCTCACGCGCTCTCTCACGCGCTCTCTCACGCCCTCTCTCACGTGCGCTCTCACGCGCGCTTTCACGCGTCTCTCACGCGCTCTCTCACGCGCTCTCTCCACGCTCTCTCACGCGCTCTCTCACGCGCACTCTCACGCGCTCTCTCATGTGCTCTCTCACGCATTCTCTAACACGCTCTCTCACGCGCTCTCTCACGCGCTCTCTCACGCACGCTTTCACGCACGCTTTCAGGCGTCTCTCACGCACTCTCTCATGCGCTCTCTCACGCGCTCTATCACACGCACTCTCACACGCTCTCTCACGTGCCCTCTCATGCTCTTTCTCATGCTCTCTCTCACGCGCTCCCTCTCGCGCTCTCTCACGCGAACTCTCATGCGCTCTCACGCGCTCTCTCACGCTCTCTCTCACGCACTCTCTCACGCACTCTCACGCGCTCTCTCACGCCCTCTCTCACGCCCTCTCTCACGTGCGCTCTCGCGCGCGCTTTTACTCGCTCTCTCACGCGCTCTCTCACGCGTCTCTCACGCGCTCTCTCACGCACTCTCACGCACTCTCTCACGCGCTCCCTCACGCGCACTCTCACGCGCTCCCTCACGCGCTCTCTCACGCGCTCTCTCACACGCTCTCTCACGCGCTCTCTCACGCGCACTCTCATGCGCTCTCTCACGCGCTCTATCACACGCACTCTCACGCGCTCTCTCACGCGCTCTCTCACGCGTTCTCTCACGCGCCCTTTCATGCTCTTTCCCATGCTCTCTCTCACGCGCTCCCTCTCGCGCTCTCTCACGCGAACTCTCATGCGCTCTCACGCGCTCTCTCACGCTCTCTCTCACGCACTCTCTCACGCACTCTCACGCGCTCTTTCACGCCCTCTCTCACGCCCTCTCTCACGTGCGCTCTCGCGCGCGCTTTTACTCGCTCTCTCACGCGCTCTCTCACGCGCTCTCTCACGCACTCTCTCACGCGCTCTCTCACGCGCTCCCTCACGCGCACTCTCACACGCTCCCTCACGCACTCTCTCACGCGCTCCCTCACGTGCTCTCTCACACGCTCTCTCACGCGCTCTCTCACGCGCACTCTCATGCGCTCTCTCACGCGCTCTATCACACGCACTCTCACGCGCTCTCGCACGCGCTCTCTCACGCGCTCTCTCACGCGCCCTCTCATGCTCTTTCTCATGCTCTCTCTCACGCGCTCCCTCTCGTGCTCTCTCACGCGAACTCTCATGCGCTCTCACGCGCTCTCTCACGCTCTCTCTCACGCACTCTATCACGCACTCTCACGCGCTCTCTCACGCCCTCTCTCACGCCCTCTCTCACGTGCGCTCTCGCGCGCACTTTTACGCGCTCTCTCACCCGCTCTCTCACGCGTCTCTCACGCGCTCTCTCACGCACTCTCTCACGCGCTCTCTCACGCGCTCCCTCACGC